ATTTAATTTAGTATATTAATAAGACTGTGTAAATAAATAATAATAATAATAAAAAAAATGAAAACTACATTCTAACACGTATTGTTGTTAAAACGTTATTTAGATCAATGAAAAATAAAAAATAAAAATAAGAAGAAATATATTTGTTTTTATATTTTTTATACCAATTTACAAAGTAAATCAGAGTATAAAATTACAACTGTTTTAGGATTTCATAAAATATATTTATTGCATATCATGTAACACACACACACACACACACACACACACATATGTATATAGTTATTAACATATTTTCATTTTTTGTATTAATAAATTTAACTAAATATTAGTCAACTTTATATCTATGGTCTCCCTCTCTATATATAGACAACTAAAACTTATATCTATTATATATTAAGCTAGTTAATTTATTTAAGTCGCGGTTATGACGTGCTTACCGAAAGTATATACAAGTGTTTGCTTATATATAGACATATACACATGTATGTATTTAAATATTGTATTATTTTAGTGACAGAGATTTTATTTGACTGATAATTGATTATATTGTAACATATGATGTTTTGGAATATTTTCTATATTCTGACAAATGTTAGAACTAGAGAGGAGGTGGACGCTATATCAAAATCGAGTAAATAAGGGTTATCAATCGAAGTCGGCGGCGTGTGTCAGAGATAAGAAGACACCCTACATCCTACCGATGCACCATTGCTCCATCAACTCCGTTAGCTCGTATTGTTACCACTACCGAATTTCAATTCCTTTTTTGTTCCTTTCCTTTTCTTCAACAATACCGAATTCACTCTATTAGCGTGCACTCGCGTCCCAACCGACATGTCATTAACTTGCCTGCTCGGATTATACGCACAGTGACATGGACGATAAATAATTATCACTATTTGCGTTCATGATTAATCCTAGCTGTCTTTAACCGATCCACTATACAGCAGCAGCCTTCAGCATTGCTTTTTCAATTTTGTTTTTTATTTCCTGAATAATTATAATAATCATAATATATTATATATAATATAACAGTCGTCGACTACTCTATTCGATGCGGTCTCTGGAGATATGGTGCCTGCAACTGCGTCATTATAAGAACAAAACACTAAAATTTGTATATATATTATATTTTGTGCTAATGGTGATGACGCCGATATCACGCATTGTGTGTGCGTATAAAGACGAAAAGATAGATTACTCGCGTTCGTGGTAAAAGGATTTAAATAAAATCCCTGTGACAGCAGTAATCACACAAGGGCCGATAATAGTATATCTAAAAAGTTATTGTTAATAATAATTGTTATATTTGACAAAATAAAAGCGGATTATGTACATACATTAATATTATATAGGAATTATTCTTTATTTTTATCTTTATATTTTTTATATATTTTGATTTACGTTTTTGGTATATTATCGTAGCTAAAATAGTATGAAAGTAGGTACCAAGCTTGTTCTTGTATAATTTAAGAATTCTTTTTTTAATAATAATATATCTGAGTTACTCAGATATTGAGTTGTATGAGTAAGTGTTACGTGTTAAACTTACGTAACTTACGTGTTTAAAATAGTGTACTAGGTAGTGTGTTTTATCTTATTGTACACAAACTACACAAATCTTTTTTTGTACAAAGTATTGAATGATTTGTACTTATTATTATGAACGAACCATATGCATTGTAGGTAGCAAATTTTTTTAGTCCGTTTTGTATTCTGTTTGAATTTACTTAGCTTAATTAAATATAACCCTATACTACACATATATTTACATATATACTCGTTTTTCTGAAAATAAGAAGAGTTATTGAAGCAACTGTTTTCTTAAATGTGGTAGATTAAATTAAATAAAATTTTAATAACTCATATTTGAGTATAAATAAAAGTAAAACATATGAAAACACCAATATTCTTAAGTTCTAAGAAATCCGCGTTTTTATAACCATTTACCATAGTAACAGTTATTAGCCATATTGATAAATTCCCAGATGACTGTCAATAATTGTAAGCATTACCTAGATTATTTATTTATAGCAAATATTTAACCAAGTATTTATCTTATCTAGATAAAAACAATATTATTTATTTATTTATTTATCCATCCGTTTAAATAAAATCGTGTTCTAAGATAAATTATCTAAATTATAAAATATATTTTGTGGCATACAAATTATATTTTATTATTATTATTTTTATTTTTCATTTTTTTTTTTAATGTGGAAGCTTAGGTTAGTTTGTATTTAACATGCTTGTATTCATTTCGTAAACATTTTACTTAGCGTCAATATAAAAAATATACGGAATATTTTTATTATAAACCAAGTATTTTATACAGTTTGAATGCCTACACAATTTATTAATATTATCATATATTCATATTATGTTTATGCAAAAATATTAAAATAAACGCATTTTAAATACAAACGAGTAACGACGTATACTGGTATTAATAATTAACTAAAATGTGGCAAAATAAGATAATTTTCAGATTTTTGCGGTAAAAGTACCTACCTAAATTAGTATGAATACCAACCACTGACTTCATCGTACTGACAATATAGTAAACCAGAGTATACAGAAAAAAAATTGTGCAAAAAACTATTATTCACTATTTTTAACATTTAAATTAAACAAATAAATATATATATACTTATATACTTATATGTATATTTTTTAATATTTTAAATTAAAAGATTTTAATTGAGTGTTCTAAAATCTAAAATCTTAAATAATTGGTATTTTATATTTTTCAAGTATTAAAACTGTAAATAGGTACTAACCAATAACACTACTATATAAATTATAAATTACTATATTGTTTACAAAATTCTATTTTTCAATTATAAGTTTTAAATCGTGTAAACATTTTATGCTTTTTATCGAAATAATTTTTTTATCTAGATAAACATTTAATTTGTTATTTTAGATTACATTGCATTTTATCTTATTCATATACATTTTCAATTAATTATATTTTATATTTCTAGATATTTTTTGGGTTTTTTTTGTACTGTCATCATAGGAAATGGTTCAATTCAAAAATAATATTAAACAGTGTCAGCGGTCATCAGTTAAACTATATTGGTGTCACCAACACAATGACAACATATGGTCTTACGACTTTTACGATTAAATGAAACAAGGCGAACTTTTTGGGTTTTCAGATTAAATTTAAATTGCTTAAAAATAATATAAATTAACATAAAATAATTTTATTATGTATATTTTTGTATATTTTTAATGTAAAATAAAAAAATATATACAATAATGAATTGAACAAAATCATATTAAATAAAATGAAAATCAAATGTTTAAATATGTTTCAATACGACTTTTAAAGCATTTAAAAGTATACCATTCTAGTATAAATTATTTTGATTATGATATAATCTTAAAATTTTTCCATGAACATTTTATCGGATACAGCTCGTAGACAATTTTTTTCCAACTAAAATAACCTAGTGTGTAAAATTACTTTATCTGTAGTTGTTAAAGATTATTATTTTTCTATGTCATAAATTCCATATAATTCATGTTTAATTTTTTTTTTCCTTTAATTATCACAATGTATTTAATAAATCCGCAATTATGAAAAAAACTTGAAAAAATTAAGAGACCATAAAGATACCTAGATATTGGTATAACGATTATATTTTTCAATAAATCTAAATATTTCTTACTTGCAGATAATTAATCTATTAATTTATTATAATTTAAACAGACAAGCCCAGTAACAAATATAAACATCATCTGGGGGATTATAATAATATTTTATTAACATATTAAAAGTTAATCTTAAACATAATTCAAAAAGTAGTAAATATTAATAAATACAATAAATAGATAGGTTTAGTATTATATATTTTATGTTATGAACGTTTATAATTAAAATGATTCACTAAAAGAAATTATTAAGAATATAAAATAACAAGATTTTAACTTAAGAATACGATATTGAAATTAAATATAAATGATTACTAGCCAAAATACTAGATATTTATATAATAATTAAAAATCATCAACTTTCTAAATTTAATATCATTAAATAATAATGCAAGTAATAAAATATGATCAACTTTATCAAACGCTTTAGAAAAATCTGTATAGATAACATTGAACTGGCAGCTAAATCTGAAAGCTTATAGGACGTAATTACAACAAAAAAAAACTACTAGGTTCGTGATGGTTGATTTACTTGACATAAAGCAATGTTTAACATCAACAATAATGTATTTAAATACTTTAAGGAAATATTGTTTTGTGTACAATACTTTCAAAAATGTTAGTTAACTTAGGTATAATAGAAGTTATAGAAATAGGGCGATACAATTATTAGTAACTGAACTAATACCACCCCCTTTTAGGATCAAAAAAACATAAGGAACTATCCATTTATATGAGAAAACTCCAAGCATGAGTGACATGTTGATTAATTATAGTAAAGGAACAGACAAAACAAACTTACAGTTAGTAAAGATAATATTTAAAATACTATCAGGACCCAGAACGTCAAGCAGATTTTATGCAGTTTAAATCATTGTAAACATATAACTTAATGTAATTATACAAATATTCAAATCAACAGTTTAAATGATTTACTATCAACGTATAAATTTGACACACAGTTCAGTTTTGATAAATAGTAGAATAATAATTTGCAAAAACAATCAACAGCTTTCTCACCACCAGGAACAGTTTGATTACTATACGAGATAACAGTCATAACTGCAGAATTAAATCGTTTATTATAAATATATTAACAAAAATGTTTTGTATCAGAAGTAATTGAACTTTATATTTTCTAAATAAAATGACTATTCGATTTTATTCACAATTTTAAATTAAGCGCGTAAATTAGGAAATTGATTATGATTTATATTCATGTGGAATTACTTATATATTTGTAAAAAGTAACTATATAACTATAACTACGAGTATAACTACTTATACTAAATCATGTTTGATTTAAATATTCTAATAAATGGTTTTTATTTTAGTTGCCTCAACTGGATGCATCTGGACAAGATCCTGGAGGAAGAAGATTTCGTATCGAAAATGGTGACTCTCTTGGAGAAAAAGAAGAGGTAACTAAAAACTATCTATTTTAATTTAAGCTAATTTTAGTTACTTAGAATTTTAAAAACTCATTCTTAGTAAAATGTATTAAGCTTTCATACATTCATACGTAAAAGAATGTTATTTTAATGCGTTTACAAAGTATATAATAAAATGTACAACATATTTCTGCTATTATGGAATATGCCGGTTACTGAAATTATAACTGTCTTACACATGGTATTACCCGAATCAAGTTATTTTATGATTTGAAATGAGACATAAAATAATACATAATAATTATAAATGACGTAAGCATTGTGCTTTAAGTAAATTTGGAATTTCCATAATCTTGTGGAGAACATAATGTTATGAAAATTAGTTCGTATAAGATAATACAATAAAAAAATATTTTAATTTTAAAAAACACGCCTTTATACATACATAGGTAATATGTATATTGTGTAATATTTTCTTTGGCATTACATATTTAATATTGTATAACATACTCGTATGTATATGTATTACAAGATAGTATTACACGTTATTTATATCAACAAATAGGTTTTACTATTTTAGTATATATATATTATTGTATATAATAGTTTTAAAAACAAATAAATCACTAGCATTCATATCATTCGTCATAGGTTAGGTTAGGTTATTCTGCATTAATTGCATCACAAATTGTGTTATAATGACGTTAAATAGTATCTATTTAAGTAACTATTTTAGTAACCGTTTTAAATCGTTATAAATACAAAATAGTAAGTATTGTTTAATGTTTTTTAAAATTAAAACAATTAAATTAATAATTGGGCTAATGTCACAATGTTATACGTATCACATATGATGTATATCTTATACAATTACACAAATACAAGTTCTAAAAAAAATAAGACACATGAACGAGTATTATTTATGTTTGAAAGTAATGATGATTAAGATGCTGAATTTTAAAATATGATTCTATGTTAGATTTCTCTACCATTATTACGACGTTTCTCCTGGTTTCTCGGAAACTATATAGGGTACAGAAAAATGAGAAAAAATATCTTCTATCTACGTCGTATTATTAAGCTTTTGACCTTTTTTTTTACTATAATAATTTATGAGAGAAATCGTAAATAATTTTCTATACTTAATTTGTAAACATTTTAAAAATACATTATATGCATAAAATACATTTTGAATAGATACATTAATGATGAACAATATCCAAAAATAAATAGAATACAATTTGATTATCATAATTATGAAACAGATTTTTCAGCATACAAATGCATAAACGGCGAGTATGATCTGATTGAGTTTATATTTTCATATTTTTTTTTGCTGATTTTAAAAAGGATGTAATTTTAGACTCTGAGGGAAGCAAAAAATTAATTGATTTTACAATGAGATATTTTTATTTTTATATCACCCATTAGGCTTTTAGGAATTAAAAATTATTTAATTTTTAACTTCATGGATAATTTTAGGTAGATAAATATGTCTTGTTGGCACTTTGGGGGAGAGACCAAAACTGAACAATTTCTAGTAATTATCAAAATAACTGAGAAAGCAAAAGACATTTTAGGAAAAATAATCGAAATATTTACACAAAACAGATCTATTTTGTTTTTTTATGTAAAACACCCAAGATATATGTTTAAATAAAAATTTTCAATGCATGATAACAATTTCACAATATTTTGAAACATTTTGATTTATTTATAGATATTTAACTTTTTGTTAGTCAATAAAATCATTTTTATTAGGTTAAAAATCTCATAAATTAATGATTTTTTATTTTATTGTAATTTAAAAACTACATTTTAAGTTCTTGTAATTTCCACTTAATATTTATTTTATTATTTTCTATTTATGGCATAATTTTCAAAATAATTATATTTATTTTGAGCTCTTTAAAGACATTTGACATCTTCAATGCTTTTTTTTTTAATTTTTTTTTTCTTTACATACAAAAATAAAATTTTAAGTGAGTCAAATAACTTGCAAATGTAATGCGAGATTCCTCATTATTTATAATTATAGCTATTTAAAAATATTAAATATTTATAGTCATGATTTTTTTTTTTTTTATCATTTAAGAATAAAAAAATTTGGAAAAAATTGTGTTGCTGAAAATGAATGGAATATCATTTTTTTTAAACTAATAATTGAAAATATAATACAATGTCACTCATAATTATTCTTGTTGTATTATGGAGTTCAAAAATTACCTACTCTACATTAGCCCAAACAGCAGACTCATTCCAAAAATGTAACATGATTTTTCGGTATAAAATTACTTAATTTTCCACCAAAATATTTTGATGTTATACGTTTAATCATTCAAGTTAAAATATAGATAAAATTAGATATTTAAACAATGAATTGCAATTTTACCTAGTTATTTAGTCGTAACTTGAAAATATTATTCATGGATCCTTAAAACTTATAACTATATGTTATTAGGTATATTTATACTTACAAAGACATTTTAAAATGCAACATTTTCTACAAAAATTAATTCAACCTACCAAATTATTAAATATAAAACTAATTACTTTAGTATCAATATATTTTTTATAAATACTGTTAATACATACATAATATTGTATTATAACACTTAACAAAAAATAAACTGACAAACCATTTTTTATCAGAATCATTTTTCGTAGTGATGATTTACCATTGAAATCAAATTTAAATCATGCATTACATAACCAAATGACAACGTATAATCGATACCCACTTTAAATTAGTCACGTACCTCGTTTTTTAGGTAAGTATATGAGCAGATAAACTTAAAAATAAGTACCATCTGTTTTGACCGATTTTCGTCAGAATCAATTATTAATCTCATTAAATTCAAAAATTTTAGATTAATAAATAATTTTTTTTATCGAATTATTATTTATTTATTTTTTATTATGTTTTTTTTTTCAATTACTAAATTATTTTTATCGTACATTTATTGATTTTTAAATGTTAAACTCATATTATTTATTTATATTTATATTTTTTGTTTTTATATAATCTCTAATTTTTTTATCTGTTGAAAAAAATCATCGTGTTTATAATTAAGGTTTGTTTGTAAAAAAAAATAATATCACATCACGGTTGTATGATTATAGATGATATCTTACAATCAAACTTATGTCCTGTTTTGAAAATCAAAGTTTAATCTAGATGGAAAATTCAACTGATTTTTTTTTACTAATTTTAAAACAGAATAATATTCGTTCGCGATGAAATAAAATAAAAATTTAAGTTATTTTTAAAAATTGAATTTTTAATGACAACATTTTTTTGTGTCAAATATAGTAAGTATGCTTATTAGAGCACTCCATAGTTCATAGTATTGCATTTTAAACATGAATTAAACCGATAAAATCAATAGATATATGAATATAATCAATGAATTCGAAATTTATAATTATACATGATTAATCATAATTTATAATATCATATATTATACAGTTTAGCTCTATAGAGAAATTATTGCTGTATTTGGGTAAAAATATATTATTGAGAATAAATTCTATCTAGAGACAATATCCGTAAATTTGTTTCATTAATTTTTTGGATGAAATAAACGTAACAATCCTTGTTTTACAACCATACATTAAATATGGTATAAATATATTATTAAACATAGATATTTTTATGAATATTCTCCCTCAATACAATTTTATTTCATTGTTTAAGACTTATCTAAATTTTACAAAAAAAGATCATAAAAATTCTATAGGTATGTCTATTTAAAATTTAATTAACCTTGCCTTTAATAATTATATTTTATAATATTTAGTTGAATACATTTAAAAATTTTAAATATGTTATAATTTATTATTCATAAAAATCAATTTTATTATGATTTTATTTATACAAATGAATGTACAATATGATAAGGATACTTCTATATCACTCGTTTACTTTATTCAAAGTCATAAATAATTAATTCTTATTTTAAGATAAAAAAATTTTCAAAACTTCATGATTGTTCTTTTTAAAAAAAAAATTTAATTATCTAATTTATTGTTTTAATTAAGTTAAAAATTTGCGTTTAAATCATAAAATAATTAATATCAGTATTTTAAACAATTTAAAAAAAAAACATTTTTTATGTATACTTATCGGCGTACTATACGCTTTATAATTACATTATAATACGTATATAAATACGTTATAATTGGACTAAAATTATGTCAATTAAATTTAAGTATTTTATGATTTTGAATTTTAAATATTTTACTTCAAATAATTGAATAATTTACTTTTTTTAAATACTTCAATGTTATTATAAAAAATATATGTTTACTATGCATAATGAATTATTTATCAACGTTGGTAGTACGAATCATAGTTCATGGTTGGTAATCGTGTTTTAGTAAGTATCTATTTAATAGGTAATAATTATAATTTTACCAATCTCCACGGATCAATTTGGCCTGTATTATCTGTTATTTTTCTTTAAAGTAACAATTTATCTCCATTTCTTAAAATTAATATGCTTTTAAAAATGTTCTTTTGCTTAAAATATATAGCTTGATATAAACATATTTTCATTTTATTTAAGATTTATTTTTGTATTTTACATAAATTAAATGTTTAAAAATAAATGTCATGAAATTTTTAAATCCTAATTATAAGTTAAATTTATATTTAAATGTTATCAAATACAATAAACCAATCAATACATATATCAGTGAAGCGTAAGTTGCATCATATACATTTTAATGGAATACACAACGAGTTAAAATAATTACAAACTTAAACTCTTGAAAATATATCAACACGCATTATTTATCACATTTTATATTAGGTTGCATAATAATTGTCTTGGAAACATATACGCGCGTGCAGTTTACGACCAATACTTTTTTTATTATTTTACCCTAATATATTCACCAGATAATCAGATTTTCATTAATTTTAAATTATTTTTATTTTTTTCTTAATTTAAAAACTATCATGGTACTGTGCTTATAGTAATTGTATATATATATATTTATTTTTTTTGTTCTTTATATTGAACATT